ATATATATATATATATATATATATATGTATTACATATATTTATATGTAAATGTTGCATATATATTTATTTATTTATTTTTATATTTATATGTATTTGGAGAGAGTGGTGGGGCCCTTGGGTCTAAGTCTGTTTGCCTTCATCTCTCAGAAGAGAGAAAGTTATAACGACAAAGAAATCGAAGGCAGCTGTCTCTGTCTCTTCTTCTCTCTGTCTCTACTTCTATCTCTGTCTCTGTCTCTGTCTCTGTCTCCTCCCCTCTTATGTTTTGCACGAGAGTGCTGGCTGCATAATAACAAACAACAATATTATTATTATTATTATTATTATTATTATTATTATTATTATTATTATTATATGTTTGGTGTTGTGTGTGTGCGTCAGTTTTATCAAACTGTCAATACAGCGGGCGGCCACCCGAAAATTGAAGTAATTTACATCGGTTTAGACGGAGAGGCAGCAGAATTTGAGGACAGCAGACAGCGCATGCCTTGGCTGTCTCTTCAATATAACTCTCCCCTTAGACACAAACTCATCAAGAGATACCGCCTTAAGATCGAGCCTGCAGGTCAGAACATATCCTGCTGCTGCTGCTGCTGATGCTGCTGATGCTGCTGGTCCTGCTGGTCCTGCTGCTGCTGCTGCTGCTGCTGTTTCTGAGGCTGCTGATGCTTGTGCTGCTGCTGCCGGTGTTGCTGCTGCTGATGCTCTCGCTGCTATGGCTATTGCTGCTGCTGGAGATGCTGCTGCTGCTGCAGTGAGAGTCTTGTCTCTGTCTCTCTCTCTCTCTCTCTCTCTCTTTCTGTTTGTTTTTCTACTAAGGTGTGTCTCTGTCTCTTTTATATTGGGGTGTATGCGCAGGTCCGCCAGTAGAGCCTCACAGGGCAAGCATGGGTATACCGCGTTTGTTAGTAGTGGGGCCCTATGGAGAGCAGATTCACTCTTTATGTTGCGAACATCAAAGTGCTGTTATCTTCAAGGAGTGGGACTTCATAGCTACAGCATGGCCCCCCTCGCTCCCGTGCAGCAGCAGCAGCAGCAGCAGCAGCAGCAGCGGTGTGGATGCAGCAGCAGCAACGGAAAACGCAAACCAGCACCAGCAGCAACAGCAACAGCAGCAGCAAGCGGATCCACTTTCGTGGCCTTTCACTCCTGAACAAGCAGAAGCTATAGTGAAAGCGAGGGAGCAGCATCATTGAGCTGCAGCTGCAGCAGCAGCAGCACTTAGCTGCAGCAGCAGCAAGCAGCGCAGCATATGCCATTTGCAGCATATGCAGCAGCAAATAAATACTATTCTTCTTTATAAGTAATTCAAGCAGCAACACTAAACTAATAAGCAGGATTATTAGCTGCAACGCTTGCAGCAGCACCAAACTCCACCTGCTGCAGCGACACAGCCAGCAGCCAGCTGCTGCTGCACTTGCTGCAGCAGCAGCAGGTGAGGTTGCTGCTTAGCTGCGCTTTCTTTTAAGTCCCCCTAGGGGGTCCCAAGTGCTGCCCCCTACCTGCCGCTGCAGTTGTTGCTGCTGCTGCAGAAGCAGCAGGAGCAGAACATGCGAAAGCAACAGCAACAGCAGCAGCAGCAGCAACAGCAACAACAGCAGAGTATATGAGTACACTATCCGCGTTTCACTGACACCCCTTTTCTGTCTCCTTTTGGAGTCCCTAGAGTTAAGGATTGTGGGGAATAGCGAGGAGACACTATGCATGCATTGAGCTGTACGTACACCTCAAATGAACAGCAAAAACCCTCAGCCGGATTTGCTGCAGCGATATATACAACAGAGACTGCTGCTGCGCTTGTCTCTAGTGCTGCTGCTGCTGTCACAGGATACAGCCGGAAGGCCGCACCCCCGGGCTCAACCCAGCAGCAGCAGCAACAGCAGCAGCAACTGCAGCAGCAATTCCTGTTGTACTTGCGCTGGGCTAAGGAAATGAAGCCCTAATGAACACGCCAGATCAGTGCAGTGTACAGACAGACAAGGCTAGAACGAAGAGATCCCACAGCAGCAGCAGCAGGAGCAGCAGCAGCAGCAGCAGCAGGGCACGCATGCACAATACAAGTAGAGCAGCAACAAAATACAGCAACAGGAGCTACTTCGAGCAGCAGCAACAAGCTCCAGCAGCAGCAGCAGCAGCAGCCAGCTGTTGTCCGCTGGCCCAGGCCACCGCTCCCCGCTCGCGCAGCCTACGGACGACAGCAGCAGCAGCAGCAGCAGCTGCAGCAGCGGCAGCAGCAGCCGCAACAACAACAGCTTCTTCTTCGCAGCA